AATGCCCCTATGGTGGTCACCATTGGCTTAACAGTGAACTGACAGCGTTCGCTTCTTGAGGGCAGCGTGAGAGTTATCACAGGAAGACCATGTCTGTAATGAATAGTTACTTCTGGGCGAGGAAAAAAAAGAAAACTCCGTGAAAAAGTCGTATTAAGTTGTGTTTTAATTTATAAGCTGTTTTTTAAGACAAACACAAAGCTCGTTGGCAGTGGTGGGAAGGGGACCCCAGGCAGGCAACTCACCATCCGGCGGCCGCCGCGTGCTGTGAGGCGCTGCTCCCCCCGGGCCCCTCCGCACCACCTGCAGTGTGACACAGGGACCCTGTTAGGAAGGCAGGGGTGCAAGGCTGATCTGATCAAAGGCAGCACACAGCCCCTGGGGGGATCTGCTTCTGGGCGACCTGACAGCAGATGTGTTCTTCTGAAAGAAACCCTCTTGCTTACCAATTTCTATTTAAAAGACAGAACTTCACTTAAAGAAAGCTAAGTGTGGCCAAGGGGGTACTAAATACTGCCTATAGTTTAACTTTTTGTCTAGCATGGTGTAAATAGGGAAAAAGTGAAAGGAGAAGGAAAGGAGAAAAAACGCAGTGTTTCTGAAGTGCTTCAAGCAACTCTTACATTAAACCCTCTTGTCTGCCCCGAAACAGCCATTTGAAAGTTCTTGGCATCATGGTGCCCAAAGGCAGAAGTTCTGCAGCAGTTCAGAGTCCACAGTGTCCCTTAAATCAGTGTGCAGGGTTTCAGTGAAGTCTTTTATTGCTGAATCATAAACAGAATGGCACTCTTCATAATCTCAAATCAAATAAAAGCCAATGAGGTCACTCCCCTTTGCTTCATAATGATGTACCCTATACCAAAAGTTAACTCTTGACATTCATGGTGTTAAAAGACAACAATAATTTCATGACTTGCCAAAATATGGAAAATATTTTCTTTCTTTATTTTTTAAATTCAAATCGTTATTTCAACTGCAACTGAGATGGTGCCGCTGCAACCAACTGCACCACCAGCTGCTGGTACCACACTGAACGAGGTGCACCCAGATGCAGGTCCCTTGTGCCATGGGACTGTGCTGACAGCAGGTTTTTGAACCTGCACAGTCGTGCTCCCAAGCCCATCCCTTCCAGGGGCATTCGTGAGAACCACTGAGATGCTTCAACAAAGCCATGTCATGACAGAGAAGACAAACTGCTCTGATGAGACCCAATGTACTCAGTGCAGTCCAGTCATGCTGCAGAAGATGTGACTACTCCAACACAAAAGTACTATGCTTCTACAGCTAGTCCCTCTGTGCAAGGAGAAGAACAATGTCATTGCAGTGACTCCCATGAAGCAAGCAGTACTGCTATAAATTAGGTGCAACAGGCAGAAGTAGGAAGGGAAATCACACACCTGACTAAGCTGGTTACAAAAATTGTGCACGGGCTGGAGTAAGGCACTGGGTTTGAAATACGATGGCTGGGGGAAATGGAAAATAATGTAGGGAGAGATGACAAGCACTGATTCTCCCTCTGGTGAGCTTTATAGCTCATTTCCCTGAAGGCCACAACATTTCAAAGTCTGCAAGCTAATCTCTTTCAACAAGGCAGGAAAAAAAACAACTACAAATGCCAGGGGCCTCTGCCCGTTCACCATGCCAAGCACTATTCACCATGTTAATGTGATTTATTTGTTTATTTGTTTTTAAAGAATCACAAGCTTGACTTTCTGGGTAGCAGTCTGCAGTTTCCTTCTGGAAAGGGTTTTATTCATGCTATTTTAAACGTGGATATGGAGAAGGCTGAGGCTGAACAACTTTTTTGCCTCAGTCTTCACCGGTAAGGGCTCTGGCCACACCACACCAAGTCACAGCATGCAAAGGAAGACTGGGGAGAGGAAGATCTACCAGAAGAAAAGCAGGTTCGAGACCATCTAAAGAACCTGAAAGTGCACAAGTCCATGGGACCTGACAAAATCCATCCACTGTTCCTAAAGCAGCTGGCAAATGAAGCTGCAATGCCACTTTCCATCATATTTGAAAAGTCATGGCAGTCTAGTGAAGCTCCCACTGACTGGAAAATGGGAAACATAACCCCCATTTCAAAAAGGGAAGGAAAAAAAACCCAGAGCCTACAGGCCAGCCAGTCTGACCTCTGTGCCCAGCAAGATCATGGAGATCCTCCTGAAGATTCTACTAAGGCACATGGAAAATGTGGAGGTGGTTGGTGGAAACCAGCATGGCTTCACCAAGGGCAAATCATGCCTGATTACTTTGGTATGCTGGTAAGAGCAGTGTGGGCACTATCCTCTAAGCCATGCTATTTAGTGCCTTTTTTGGAACAATCAACTTATAAAAAAGGTGCTGTCAGAAGCATGGAAAGGATGTGCAATCCAAGGTGAGAAACTGTTGTTCTGTAGGAAAATGACTTTATAAACAGCTTAAAGCATACATGGGTACTTCCTATTTGATGCCCTTTTGAGTGATTTTTCCTGCAGTCCTAGCACAAGTGCTTCCCAATCCAATCTGTGTTCAGCCAGGGACAGCACACACTGTTCCAGGAGTCTATTATAGCAGTCTAGCTTTCTCATCTCAGCAAATGTACCAATTTTTAACATCCATAAAAGCAAAAGAACCACATTGATGTATTCTCTGCCATTTTACAGTGCAAGAATTTTCTTCCTGGGGTAATATAAGCAAGTGACTTGGAAGTCAGACCAGGGGTAATTCTGGTTCTGGCTCACCATGCAGACGTAGCAAAGACATTCACATCCAAGTTTTCACATACAGCACTAACCTCAAGGTGTTTCACACTTTAAACACTTGTGATGTTTAAGCCTGGCATCAAGCCCTCAAAAGTTAACATAGTTTTCAGCCTCAGTCACAGCTGCCTTTGAACTGAGCACCCCAAATTTGTGTGCACACCATAAAATGTTGGATTTTTCAGTCTCTAAACTTGAGCTTTACAGCTGAAATACAGCTATTAAGACTTTAGTCAGCCAAACGTAACTCACCACAACCTGTAATGCACATCCATTTCACATGAGGATGAGATTTAAGGAGACTAGTCTGATGCATTTCGATCTAGCACAGGGCGAGTTGTACTTTTCCAAAAGAGTAACACAGACAATGTACTCAATACATGTTTGGCTGAGGGGAACTGCAGGATGCAAAACAATGAAAGGTCAAGTCATAAATGCCTATCACAAACCACACGTTGGTGAATTTAGAGTAGAAACAAGACAGCAGAGGGGAAACAGAATACAAATCCACTGGCACCCCTCCATTTGGTTCAGAGTGAGAGAACACCACTAACAATATCTTAATTTTTTTAAAGGTTTTTTTTTCTTCCCCACATTTAAAATAGCATGAATAAAACTTACTTTTTAAATTAAGGTTGAAAACTCAACAGCCAACAAGCACACAAAGTAATTTGTTCAGGCAGCGCCCAAATATGATATCCTATATATACATAAATTAAAGTTAATGTAAACAGCCACACACAAAGAAATATCAATCCCTGTCTTTGTAATAATAAAAAACTGAATATGATAAAATACCTGAACTGATCAGCTAAACAACACATGAAGATAACAAAGACCTCTGGCTATTGTTAGTTTTCACCTTCCAACATTTTTATTAGAAAAAGAATTGTGTAAGAAGTGTCACAATGTATTAGTATTGTTTATATATCTCCAATACACATGCAACCAAGAGTGTAATCTTATTTGAACTGCCTCAACACTTTTTCAACTGAGGGATCTCACAAGCAACCAAACCAACAGAGAAAGGCAGGGACACTTACTTCCACAAAAACATACTTGTTTGGGAGAGGCAGAAGAGCGAAATGTGTGAGTAGCGCTGCACACCAGAAAGGAGCCACGCAGTGCCCAGCCAACAGAGCTAGGGCTCAACTCCCAGGTCTCTGCAGCACACGCTGGGATATTAACACTGCAGAGTCCAAGTCTTCTGCACAAGTAAAAAACTGTCGTATTTTGACACAGAGCATTTCCATACAACACCATTTGCTGGAGATTTATATTGGTAACTGCATCATATGGGAAGCAGAAGAGTTACGAGCCTTGGGGCCTTTTTGTTCGGTTTAGTTTGTTGTTGTTTGGGGTTTTTTGCTATGCAGTTCAGTAATTAAAAAGAGCTAGGGAATCAAACCTGCAACAGTACAGATCAGAAAACACACCCAGAGATATTACAGAGGGAATGGGCTAGTGGCATCAATCCTATCTGATGTACTACATAATACAGAAGGGCGATTTTTGCACAGAGCCTAAGCCAAAACACATTTTTCAGAAAACATATTTTCCTTGATTTAAGATATTTTAATAGAGGGATATTGTAGATGCTCCATAAATCTGAGACAAAAATTATAAACTAGCATAGCAAAAAAACTAAACCAAAACAAACAGGCACTAGTTAATGCGTTAAACAAATCAATCTCTGTAGAATTTAACCTGCTTATATTAACAGCTGCTGAGCCTCATAAACATCCCTCCTTTGTTGGTACCCACAAACTGCAAGAAGCTACTGAAGACTTAAAGTCTTATTTTTTTTGTTGTTGTGGAATATTTTCCACTCTGGAAACAATTCCTGTAACTTATTTAAAGGAAACTCAGACTTGCCATTTTTCCAGCATTCAGAATTCCAGACTTACTAACATTATGTGGGAGAACAACGCTCTTACGTCCCTGTTCCTTCCCCATACTCACCTGCCCAAAAATCTTGTGACTACAGGCTCATTTCTGATACCCTATTATATATACACATATATTTAAACATATTCAAATTACAGCACTGAGTAAAAGCAAGACACAAAAGTAAAGTTTCCAATGGCTTCCAGATTACTGGACAACCTTGAACATGTGACTGCATCTCAGTTCCCCATATCTCAAAACATAGGTATCTTAAAATAGAAATAATGACACAACCCAATTTCTACCAGCCTTTACAAGTTAAGAAGGATGAAAATGAATCTACCTCAGCAGGCACCCAAGTCATCCATCACTGACCTCTCCATTAATCAGTCAAGCAATTGGTAAGCCATATTGTTTGGGTAATCTGTACCTTTTACCAGTAATTGTATTTTGCTCTAGATGCTCAGGATAGTCAAGTAGCAGCAGATGTGAGGTCTTACACAGCCACCCTAAACATGTGGCAACACTGCATTCACAGTTAATTTTGTGCTCCGACTTTACTGACATCTTCTGAATTAAAAGACAAGTACATTTTAGTACTAATGGGTATGGTGGTAGCCCAGTTAGGTCTTACTGCTTCCTACTTCTGGTTTGGCAAACTATGAGTTAAAATGGATTACTGTACCTCCCACAGTGCCAGAGAAATTGGTTGTGCAAATAGGAGAAAAACAAGTTTTAAAGTTAATTTGCATAAAGTAGAATTGGCTTCAAGAACATAAATTAAAGATGAAACGCAACAGACACAACAGCAAAAGCTTTTAGACAGTGCAAGCGTAAGCAGTGCTTAAGGATTCCCTGCAATCAGAAGAAACTGCCTATTTTTTTCCTTATGTTCGAGCTACCCTGCCATCTCGTACCTCTGTTACATTATGTATGATTGCCTATTTCCTTTCCAAATTGCACACCAGCTGGAGCCGAGTCTTTGTCAAATGGCAAGTAGCTGAATTCCTTTCCTTTCTGTTTTGAAATCTCAAGCTGTCACCCACAGGCATTTTCCAGGCAATCAGTAAAAAGTCTCTGGCATCATAATTAAAAAAAAATAGTTCACTTTTGTTCCATAGTTATGTCTTACAAGTAAGAGCAGAGTATTCACATGTAGGTGAAACCCAGTCAGAAGTTTCTAAGAAAATCACTTACTGTCTTTACGGAACTCAGTGACTCAATTTTTTTTTTCCAAGAAAAGGGAGACAATGTCAAAAGGTAAGTGTTACATCTAGAAGATTAAGACAATACAACAAGGAATCATTATTAGCCAGAGTTTCATGTTAACTGGCAAAGGCAAATGACAGGTCACTCTTCAGAGGCTCATACTCTAACCCAATCTTCATCTACCATGTCAAACTCTTCCTCTATCATGACCTCTTCTGGGGATTGTAGATGCTCCATAAATCTGAGACAAAAATTATAAACTAGCATAGCAAAAAAACTAAACCAAAACAAACAGGCACTAGTTAATGCGTTAAACAAATCAATCTCTGTAGAATTTAACCTGCTTATATTAACAGCTGCTGAGCCTCATAAACATCCCTCCTTTGTTGGTACCCACAAACTGCAAGAAGCTACTGAAGACTTAAAGTCTTATTTTTTTTGTTGTTGTGGAATATTTTCCACTCTGGAAACAATTCCTGTAACTTATTTAAAGGAAACTCAGACTTGCCATTTTTCCAGCATTCAGAATTCCAGACTTACTAACATTATGTGGGAGAACAACGCTCTTACGTCCCTGTTCCTTCCCCATACTCACCTGCCCAAAAATCTTGTGACTACAGGCTCATTTCTGATACCCTATTATATATACACATATATTTAAACATATTCAAATTACAGCACTGAGTAAAAGCAAGACACAAAAGTAAAGTTTCCAATGGCTTCCAGATTACTGGACAACCTTGAACATGTGACTGCATCTCAGTTCCCCATATCTCAAAACATAGGTATCTTAAAATAGAAATAATGACACAACCCAATTTCTACCAGCCTTTACAAGTTAAGAAGGATGAAAATGAATCTACCTCAGCAGGCACCCAAGTCATCCATCACTGACCTCTCCATTAATCAGTCAAGCAATTGGTAAGCCATATTGTTTGGGTAATCTGTACCTTTTACCAGTAATTGTATTTTGCTCTAGATGCTCAGGATAGTCAAGTAGCAGCAGATGTGAGGTCTTACACAGCCACCCTAAACATGTGGCAACACTGCATTCACAGTTAATTTTGTGCTCCGACTTTACTGACATCTTCTGAATTAAAAGACAAGTACATTTTAGTACTAATGGGTATGGTGGTAGCCCAGTTAGGTCTTACTGCTTCCTACTTCTGGTTTGGCAAACTATGAGTTAAAATGGATTACTGTACCTCCCACAGTGCCAGAGAAATTGGTTGTGCAAATAGGAGAAAAACAAGTTTTAAAGTTAATTTGCATAAAGTAGAATTGGCTTCAAGAACATAAATTAAAGATGAAACGCAACAGACACAACAGCAAAAGCTTTTAGACAGTGCAAGCGTAAGCAGTGCTTAAGGATTCCCTGCAATCAGAAGAAACTGCCTATTTTTTTCCTTATGTTCGAGCTACCCTGCCATCTCGTACCTCTGTTACATTATGTATGATTGCCTATTTCCTTTCCAAATTGCACACCAGCTGGAGCCGAGTCTTTGTCAAATGGCAAGTAGCTGAATTCCTTTCCTTTCTGTTTTGAAATCTCAAGCTGTCACCCACAGGCATTTTCCAGGCAATCAGTAAAAAGTCTCTGGCATCATAATTAAAAAAAAATAGTTCACTTTTGTTCCATAGTTATGTCTTACAAGTAAGAGCAGAGTATTCACATGTAGGTGAAACCCAGTCAGAAGTTTCTAAGAAAATCACTTACTGTCTTTACGGAACTCAGTGACTCAATTTTTTTTTTCCAAGAAAAGGGAGACAATGTCAAAAGGTAAGTGTTACATCTAGAAGATTAAGACAATACAACAAGGAATCATTATTAGCCAGAGTTTCATGTTAACTGGCAAAGGCAAATGACAGGTCACTCTTCAGAGGCTCATACTCCTAATCCCTCTAGAGCCAAGATAAGCACCCCAAGCCCTGAGCTCCAGGAAAATTACATCAGAGACATCAACATGACCTTCACTTAGCCATTTCATATTTATCTCCTTCCTGTCCTTGGCTTAAATTAGAAAAGCCTGAAAACCAGGTAGATGTGGTCAGTAGACTCCCTAGTTAATTCTGAAACTATCTTCTGGTAAGGAACTGCAGTATTATTTTGGGTTGATCCAAGTTGATCTATTTATGTTTTTGCAGCCAAACAGTGCTCACTATTTGCAAAACCTTATCATTTGCATTCCATTCTCACTATCTGAAATCACAATCCTAAAGCCCACAGCAAGGAGAAAATCCTGTGTGTTGTTTCAGGTCCACTGAGAGCAAGGCTACCAGGCCAGAGCCACCCATGTGGCAACAAGGCGCTGCCGATCCTCACCAGCCAGAAAGAGCAGTTACCTCCCAAGCAGGACTTCCTGGATTCACTTTTTGATTGGCATTGATAAATTGTACATTACACTGTATTTTCATGACACTTTCTGTTACACCTGGCACTCAGTTAGCAGAGTATTTATTTATTCATACCAACCAGAAGTACAAACATGGACTTTGAGCTCACTTTAATGGAATTCAAAAAGGGCTTTAGTAGTCTATAAAGATTTTTTTTTTAATCTTTAAAGGAAGTCTCTTACACACTTATCAGGGTGCTGACAAGCTGCATGTGGGGAGAGATCCATCACGTATCCCAGCACTCACCCAAATCCACCTGACCAAAGTGGTCAAAATAGTAACAGAAAAGTTGACAAAAGGACAAAAATAATCTAAACGTAGAATTATGAAGACTTCCATTTGCCATCTGTTTTGCCTTTCTAGCATCCTGCTGCACTGAGCAAAACAGATTGTTCTCCTTGCTGCCTACGAGATTAAAAACAAAAAAACAACCCTGTGGCTAATCAAGTTTTCTTCTGAAATTAACAATATAATTTTACCTCCATGTAAGGAGTCACTGGAAGACAGGCTTGAACACAAAGCTTTGAGAGCACAGAACTGCCTGTGCCGAAGCCAGAAACGAGCATTTGAAGCACACACAGACACTGAGACATTGCCCTTCCTCCTTGTCCAGCCACCCCCTACCTGAGACCACAGTGTCAAAACCCCTCCAGTAGTATTTCTAAAGATGAATTATTCACTTTTTCTACTCACTGCATTGTACCTGTGCACCATGGTCACAACACAGGCTTGTAAGGAAGCAAGGCTTCTGTAAGAGAGGTGCCTGTTCTCCTTAATCCCAAAGGGCTTCTGAACTGCCAGCGAATTTCAACTCAATCATGGGAGATGGTAGAGGTCTCAAGGTTATGTTCTTGCATGCTGCATGGAAAAATTGGAGGCTAAATGGGAGATATGCAAATTTAACACCCTCAGGGAAAAAAAGGCAATGGCTTACCCACTCCCACAGGCAGCCCCACTGACAGCCCTTGCACTACCAGCCAGGGACCTTCCCACTCCCTGCCCAACAATGTAAATCCTGTGAGTATGGACAGGGATGACAGGGAGAGCATTTGTCACACATCTGCAGAAAAACAGGGTTATTAGGTCTATGAGCCATCCAACTATGACAGCTTGTCCTATGCAACCTATAATCACACACATCACTACAGGCTACGGGCACATAAACATCAAGAAAAGCTGTTCCAGGATCTTGAACCCTGCATCAGTTTTGCACACACCTCAATTTTACACAGAACACAGCTCCCACAAGGCAACACTCATGTTTCCTGGCGTTCCAGAGCAATTCAGCCCAAAATAAAACAGATCTTTAAGACAATGTATTAATCAACTACCCTTCCCATATTAATTTAAATAAGGAAAATCCCCCTTCCTCAAATTCCAAAGAGTAAAACCAAACAACTTGCAGGTTTAAGAAAACATTCTGCAAAACAGAGGAGGGAAGGGGGTTGCTGTAGCTATAAACTGGCTCAAGATTTCCCAGCATGTTGCAGGCCTGAAGGTAGAAAATCTAAGTATATTAGCTGTAAAGCTGTTTTCAGCAATTACGTTTGTATTTTCTGTACTGTTTAATTCTATCAGAGGGGAGCTCAGCAGGGTACACATCATTGGCATCACAACACCAAGCTACAGCACTTAAGACTTAATGCCTTTCCACCCATAACTCCTTACGTACCTTAATTCTGCATCCTGCACCAGTGCCACCATTCCAATAGTGACACCTCACTCTGACTCTCGGTTTGCATTTTAATCATCCCTAAGATCTCTTCTGTGTTTTGCTATTACCATCTCAGTGTTACAGGTCTTAGGTACAGCTTCTGATTTCTCTAAGTATGCCTGAGATGCCTACAAAAATAAACTGCAAATTAAGGGTTTAGTTTCTTTTTTTCTATGTTTGACTACTGAGAGCAATCCAGGGTGGGCAGGCCCTCTGTAATAAGGATAAACAACCTTTCTGCTGGAGCTCTGCAGGGCAGGAAGTACAGATCTTCAGGCAAGGGAAAGAATTTAGGCTTCAAAGAATTTCTGTTGGGAGCACTACTCTCAATCTCTGATACTCTTGCAACTCCCTCAGCTAGCCCGGAGGTGCTTACAAACTTGTCTCCTTGGCTAAATGTTCAGGAACATCAGGATAATTTTATGATCACCCTTGGGAAATTCAAAGTGCAGGTCACAGCAAAATGGCTTGTTCCATCTTCACCATTAATACCAGCTGAACAACCAGACCAGGAAACTGAGCTAACTGAAATCCAGCCCAAAGAGAGGCAAAACAGTGAAAGGATAGAGCAGGGAGAGGAGAGGCAGGAGAGATTTCAACTGGATTCACTCTAATCTGAGCACAAAAAAACAGGCAAATGAAAGTTGCAGATACGGATTTAGAGGGCTGGAAAATACAAAAATACAGGAACTTCAGCAATACCCTAGAGCAGCAGTGCTGACCACAACCTGCATGCTGCTTTCTGACCTGACACATCTGCTTTCTCAGGAGCTGGGCTTTTTCTCCCTAGTGTCCCTGCCCTTTACTGCTTCTCTCATCCTTGTAACCTTTATTTGAAGCTATAGAAAAAGAGCAGCATTGAAAGTGCAGGCAAAGGAAATTAAAACTACTGCAATGGGACAAGAAAAGCAGTCAGAAGCTATTTTTGAGGTGGACACTGCACAGCAGCAGACAAAAACACAGTATCTCCATTCTTCCTATGCAGAAGGGTGATGTTCCATTTGCAGCTTTGGCATATTTCTCTAAGTTGTCATCTTTCTCAGTCTATTCTTGCTTTCATAATACACCCCCACTTAGATTCCAGATGAAACCATTTCCACATCCCATTCCTATTTACCTTACAGTGGGAAAGGAAGACCTTCCACCCAAACCCAGTACAACAGTACCATTTCCGTTCATTTCCTCCATCTGACAATAGACCTGTGTTTAATGAGATAGAAAATGGTTGACCTCAACTGCTGTGTTTCTACTTGTGGGTACTTATCCCACACTATTATTAATCTGACAGTTCCTTTTAAAAACTTAAAAAAAAATAAGCTTCAGCCACTTGCCTGCAGACAACACAGTTAGGCAGTTAAGCTGTGTAAATTCATCTATCACTGTGTATTTTTTTACCACCCACGCAGTCATTCATTCATCTATATATCCTTTCTTTCTTCCTTTGCAAGAAAAAATAGTCAAAACCCATTCAAAACAATAGTCAGATGTCAAGTTTGGACATTTAAAATTCCTTTAAAATAACACAACT